GGCAAAGAACCTATGTTGTATAACCATGTGTAAATAGTTTGGTCTATTGAATAAAGAAACAAATGGTGAAGTAATACATAAAGCATACATAAAGTATTAGCTGACATTCCACAAATGTTATCTAATGTTCAACGCTAATGCCAAACTATTTGGGTAAAGATACATATACTTGTAATTGAATGCCTCATTAAGCACGTTATAAATGATAGCATAAATTATATACTAAAAGAAACTACATTCTCAAAATAGGGGGTAACCTAATATTTGTTATTATTCACATTTTCGTTAGTACAGTATTATGATGTAAATTATAAAATAGCATATTCTTTAAATTAATGAAAAAAAATATTTCTGATAATAATAAAAACAGTCAAGTTGTCTTTAATAGAAACTAATTTCAGTAGACCTTCTACATAAGCATACCAGTTCTGATTTGTAAATGGAAGGATTAATTTTGAGAGGATTAGAAGAATGTGTATATTAGTTCATATACTTTTCGATGTTACATCAAACATTTTTTATGTTTGTTGAACAGTTAGCTATATCTAAGTATGTCAATCTTGATGCAGTTTTGTTCTCTGAGCTGGATGATTTGATCGTGGAGCTTTCATTGTTCTTCTGAACGACATCATCAGTACAAACTTCTAACTCAGAGAACAAAACTCCATCAAAATCATCGACCTGAGCTACAAATCTTCCCCACCATCTCAAGTATGTCAACCACAAAACACCAAGCTAGGTACATTAGATGGTAAATGTAAACCTAAATCCACTGCTTTTGATCCCATAAACAAGAAAACTAAAGAAATGTACGAGCTTATTGATAGTTATGGGTCCAAGTTACTCTCGACTGATCTCGATCCCTGATGTGAAGTTTACTGATTAAATAAGACTTCAGAGGAACTATATTATGCCACTGAGTTTGAGTGAATCGGAAGACTCCCTTGAAGCCGTTTATCCGCTTTATTACTCACTTAATTACTTACGCCTGTTACTCCCAATGAAGCATAGGCCGCCGACACCATTCTCCAACCCACTCTGTCCTGGGCATTCCTTTCCACTTCTGTACAATTTTTCGTTCACTTTTTTCATGTCTTTCTCCATTTCTCAGCGTAATGTGTTCTTTGGTCTTCCACTTCTCCTTTGGCCTTGGGGATTCCATGTGAGGGCTTGCTTTGTGACGCAGTTCGGTGCTTTCCTCAACATGTGTCCTATTCACTCCCAGCGATTCTTCCTGATTTCTCCCTCCACTGGGATCTGGTTTGTTCTCTCCCACAGTAGGTTGTTGCTGATAGTGTCTAACCGACACGTCCCAAGTATTTTGAGTAGACAGATGTTAATAAACACTTGTATCTTCCGGATGATGGCTTTCGTAATTCTCAAAGTTTCCGCCCCATACAGTGGAACTGTCTTGACATTTGTATTGAAAATTCTGACCTTGGTGTTGGTTGACAGTTGTTTTGATTTCTATACATTCAGCAGTTGTAAATATGATGTTCTTGCTTTGTCGATCCGCGCATTCACATCTGCATCAGATTCACCATGTTCATCAATGATGCTGCCCAAATATGTAAAGGATTTTACATCATCCAAATCTTCTCCGTCAATTGTGATTGGATTGGTGCATGCTGTGTTGTGTCGAAGAATCTTGCTTTTCCCTTTGTGTGTGTTGAGACCTACTGTTGCAGAGGCTGCTGCTACACTGGTCGTCTTCTCCTGCATTTGTTGTTGCGATCGCGATAAGAGGGCCAGATGATCTGTGAAGTCTAAATCGTCCAGCTGCATCCTGGCCGTCCACTGTATCTCATGCTACCCTCAGATGTTAACGTCTTCATGATCCAGTCGGTCACGAGGAGAAAGGGTGAGAGTAAGCAACCTTGCCTGACACCGGTCTTTACCTCGAACGAGTCTGTTAACTGTCCTCCATGCGCGATTTTGCACTTTAATTCATCCGCTTTATTAGCCCGTGAATAAATAAACATCGAAATTGAGCTTCCGTTGTTGAAAAGGTAATAAAATCAAAGAGTATATGGTGGTTGTAACTTGCATATGATATTTCCATGTTTATAAGCGACTTTTTACAATTCAAAGTTATTTTTCTTCGAAAAATCTAAGTAAAAATTATCTATGAAGGAGATCTAACTCCGAACGTACAAGAACTCAACAACGTTCATATATTTTCATAGACCAATGAAGCTAGTAAACCACTTAGAATCAACAACGGGGTACCGAAACAGCAATTTGTACGATACACTTATATTCACTATAATATTTCTTTGTGAGTTCACTTTGAACAAAGTCAGTCAGCTACAACATAGGACGAGGCAAATATATTCATTGGTCCAAGTTGCTATACCTCATTAGCACAACAAGATGAACACGAAATTCATAGAAGCAGTCACTTCAAAGGTAGTAATATATAAAAAAGACTACATATGATACAGGGAGAAAGAAAGGTATGAAGTAATTTCAGTCTCATGGTTTAAGGAAAGAGAGAGAGCATATACATCTACGCCATTGTGGTCAATTCTGAGCCATGTCACCAAGAGTCTCCAACCATTGGTTACGAGTCACGCGGACGCCAATAAAGTATTCTGCATCCACCAACATGGCTCAGATCAGAAGTTAGTGTCTCCAAGCACCGGTGCCACGTTTTGGTTTGGACGCCCCCAACTTTCTTCCAACCATCCCCAACACCAGTCAGCATTGCATGTTGTGGTAATCGGCGCTCAGGTACACGTAACCCAACCATCTCAGTCGACGAAGATTCACAACCTCATCAACTGATTTACCATCATTTCCTAATACAGTGCGTCTAACCTCTCTATTACTTACCCGATGACCCCAGAAGATGCTGCCAGTATTCCTAGGACATCTGATATCAAATACTAATAACTAACGAGTATCTTCTACTCTTAATGACCACGTTTCGCAGCCGTAAAGTAGAAGAGAACGAACTGTCGAGCAGTATACTCGTCCCTTAATTGATAGACGGATATCTCGCCTTCGCCATAGGTGACGTAAGTTAGCAAAAGCCAAACGAGCTTTTTGAACCCATGCGAAGATTTCTTCAGACACCAACCCATTAGGGCTGATCAGACTTCCAAAAACAAAGAAACAAGTTCTTAATAAAATGTTTCTGAGAGCTACACCATAAGACTGTTTATGTGACGTTTTCACCATGTGATAAAATAAACTTTTTCTTATCCAATCTGAGCGGTTTTCAGTTCTAAGTAAAAGTAACCCTAAGAAATTTATTCAAAGAGTAAATGATGATTCGCACTACATTTTGAAGCTTATGCAAAGAACTCAAAGTTGCTAATCTGGTTGGTTATTTATAGGTAATAAATTTTAACCACTATTTTATTGAAGGTAAGCTCTGTACAGTTCTACTGTACGGATCTGAAACTCGAAGAACTACGACAACCATCATCAAAAAGGTACAAGTATTTATAAACAATTTTCCACGCAAGGTACTCAATGTCCGTTGACTGGATACCATCAACAACAGCCTAGTGTGGGAGAGAATAACCCAGCTTCCAGTTGAAGTGGATAGCACATACATTTCGGAAATCATCAAACGGCATCATAAAGCAAGCGCTAAATTGGAATCGTGAAGGTAAACGGAAAAAAGGAAGGCTAAAGAACACTGAGTCTGGAATTGGAAGCAGACATGAAAAAGATCAATAACAACTGGGAAGGGTTGTGCAGGACAAAGTTCGATGTAGAATGCTGGTGGGTGGTCTATGCTCCTCCACGAGAGGCAACAGGCGTAAGTAAGTAAACCGAATAATCTACATCTGTTGGGTATCACAATGTGTTTTATTCTATATAAAGCAATCAGAAATAAAATGCTTACAAAAGAAAAATATGAGCAGTTTTATCTCGTTCTCGTAACTGTCGTATTTCTATTCGGTGCACTTATTTTCCAACTGTTTCATTAGTGGTAATACCGTAAGTTAATGTTACACGAATCGTCGAAAACACTAGTATTTCTTTATTATGATTCATAATTACCTCAGCCATTTCCTTCTAAACAAATAGAGTTTAGGAATTTTGTTGTAATCATCATCATTTAGAGTATCACTACCTTTCTTCGATCATTGGTATTTCATAGTCTTAATGATTATAAATTCGCGGTACACAAAACTGGTGACAAGCCAAACAATAAAATAAATTCATCTTATCATGCGGATCTTATTCCCTTTTCGTCACTCATTTTTCCTGTGAAAACAAGATGTGAGTGAATGCAACGAAGTTCCTTATCAACCCCCCCCTAGCTAATACGATTCGAGGGTTTTAACATTTTATCTACATGGGTATTTGCTTCTTAATTCATTTGATGAGACATATTATTGGTAATTACTATAAATGGGAAAACTAGTGATATTTTAAACCGGAAGAATTCGGAGGTGACCATCACCATGTACTAATATCATTGAATTAACAGGAGGGGTTTGAATAACTCGACAGATTCCGTTTTTGGATTTAGTATGATCACCAGTTATGGACGTATCGGGATTCAAATATATTTATATAACACAGATAATACTTGAAATCCTCAAAGAATGTGTTGTCGATATTTTGAAACGTTGTTTACGTTTAGTGGACCTAGTGATTAAATGGCCATAAGATTAAAGTTTTAGACAAGATGGCTGTTCTATAACATATATTGCGTCAAAGCTTACCATAGCTTTAAAAAAAAGTTGGAGGAAGGTTAAGAATGACTAGACCTGGATATATTAGCAGTTCATGAAATCATATAGCCTGTTGGTTTCCATTCATTTAAACATAATCCGCCCGGAAATAGTAGATGTCCGTACACTACTGAGAAATATAACAATTTTAACTGATGTACTCCATACAATACCATGACCAAATTTGTCTGTTGAATAACATTACTCAATACTTTTACAAATGGATATCCCAGAAGAAGACTAAGAAACTCCTTAAAAAACGGTATAAATTTTCGTGCACTGGTCTAATTCGAAATTTCTGTTAATAACTTTATATTTGAAGGGAGCCACAATTATCAACATTTATTAGGAAGAATAAGAGAGGGAATTACTTGGTCGTTTAAGTTCAGTTGATTAAATTTTGCCATAAATTGATTAGACATGCTTTACGTTTCATTTGTTTAGTACTCGCTCAGTATATATGTATAACAACAAGTAGAATATCCAACCCCTTGAATTATTTATTGCTTACTTCCGATTTGTGTAAAGGAAAAAGAATCGCGTAACTGAAATATACAAAAGCAATTAAGTTATGCATCGATAATAATTCATTTAAATATTGACAGAATAATTTAACGTTTAATGCATAGTTGACATGGTCCGATAAATGACGGACTTCAGTAATACCAAACCTTTCATGAAATTCTATGTTCCAAGCTAAATCCAAGCATGCAGCACACCAATCAACTGCTAGAACGAATGAAATCGAAAATTGAAGTGATGTATATGAAGAAATTTTTAAAATCTCAGAAGAGACACACATGACGTTTAACTTATGAAAGTACCAATTTTTACTGAGATATGTAAAGATTAAAATGATGAGTATCCAAAAGATTAAAATGCCTGATCCCATCGTTAGTTATCAGTAGACACTATTAAAACGCAACCGAAGTCACAGCGTTCCAAATTACATTGAGGGCAGAACAACGTCATGCAATATTATGGGGAAAATACTATCATTATCAGGAAATAAAAGCTTTTTAATTCAGCTAATAATTATACGGGATGATAGAAAATATTAAGAAAGAAAACTACAACTGTACAAAACAAATTCGTGATATGGTAAATGTACAAACAAACATGATAAAAGTAGAAAGAAATCTAGTTCATATGATTGCAGACGCATTAGAATCAGAGTCCAATAGACAAATGACCATGATCGTAACCAAAACATACAAATTCATAAAAGTGTGAATAAGGAATTACCAAATCACATTGTTTGAATTGGGAAGTTGAAAACAGGTAAAGAATTTCACTAAATGATTTGTGCTTAGTTCCACGACCGGACCATCACTATGGCAACCATTACCAAGAGACGTTAGCGAAATTATGGAACATTCACCAAAGAACGATTCAAATAGAATAAATACAATAAAAATAAGTAAAAAGATTAAGAAGCATCTTCCGAATGACCGTTTATCGATACTGAATATAAAATGTGGTAAACTATTAGAATAAGTTTGTGAGAAAAGTGTGTAATACAGTGAACCGTGAAAAGAACGTGAACGTAAATGACCAACTGCAGTATCGAGATAATAGTTGTCCAACTGTACAGAGTCATTTGATGAGATCATACTGTCAACCACTTCTTTGTCTTTTTCTACAATAAAAGGAATAGTTGAATCAATTAAGTGTTGTTTTGCATGGTAAATTGACAAGTGTTTTATTTTAACTATAATTGCATTTGATTTGTTAATTATTGCCAATTCTAAATCACGAATCATAGTTAGAATTTTCTGACGAAGTTCACAAGAAAAATGAATTAAATTGGTAATGGAGCATTTTGATATATTGACATCTAATTCTTTACCATGGTGATCATGACTATCATGTTGTACAAGAATGTTTGATTTACAGGAAAATTTCCAGAAGTCATTGAATAAGTAACATGAACCCAAACGTGACTGGATAGTCCATAGATTTTCATTTAAATCCTAAAAAAGAAGTATAAATTTGTAAATTATATTAGGTGAGAAAGGAAACTAGCAACACCAAATGTGACTATTCCAAATAACATAAAATCTAAACAAGTTATAAGAAGAACTCAAAGTAAATTTTAGTCATTTAGTCTTTTATTATGACAAGTATGTTAGACTGAAATAGTTCTTTGTCACTAAATAACTAAAGAGATGGAATCAATCTAAACCATGTAACAGTGGATATTTCTTAATGCTTATTCTGAGAATATTGTGGTCAGGTTTGTTTACGTATATTCAAAGTATTAAATGGTAGAATTATAGACAACCGCGGTGAGTTGATGACTGACGAAACCTCAGCAGGTATACCGAAAGACCGTTTAGTATTTACTAACTTGCGCCACATCTGGTGTAGGGGAGATATCCATGTTCCAATTAAGAGGTAAGTATATTGAACAGATATTTGCTCTGTATTATTGTGTGATGGTAGAAGACATAATTAAGTTTCAAGTAAATGATCATAAGCAGTTTAAAAGCAATGCCTGTACATGATGAGCCGATTTAGCAATATCGAAGTTAGCTGTAAGATACCAGGTAAGAAAAAGGCAGGTCCGATGATAAGGTCATAACTTTTATTATCGGAGGTAGTGAGAATATGTTATAAATCCCTGAAGACAACCTACAATCAGCCAGTCAACAACGTAGAACTTCCTACGTACGTACATCAGTTCGAATAGCCATACCACATTAGCACAAAGGTACAATTGTCGATTCAAATCCCATAGCAGTAGAGGTAGTAAAAGTATACGCAGTAATCGGATATATTAGGGTTTGAAGATGTTATTCAAGGAGTATAATACAGCGAAATAAATTTGGAAAGAGAAAAAAGAAACATGAAGGATTCAGGAGATTAGAATTTTGGAGAACACAAAGAGTGGATGCACCTGCGCCACTGTAAACGATTTTGAACCACGTCATTCAAGGTCTCTAACCATCGATTACTATCATATCGCGGATCTCAACCAGGAAGTCTACACCTACCAACATGGCTCAGTCCACTTGTCAATTACTTCATGGATTTGTGCCATGATTTGGTTTGGTCGACAACCCACCCTCAAGTTCAATGTCGACGGACATGAAAGTAAGACAGAAATAGAGTTAGGAAAATTAGGAAATGACATCAGATCATGAAGTCACTGACCTGTTCTTGTATATATATATGTCAATTGTTCCATACTATTTCTTATCTTAATGTAAAATTCTAATACATATTTGGTTGTCAGGATTTGAGGAGAAACCACGAAATATAATGAATTCATATTATTGTGCATCAATAGTTGTTCTAGCTTTATTTGAAGTCACCGACCGATGAGGAAAAAAATTCAAGATGCCCATATCAGATGACCAGTTTAGCCGAATACTACAATAACAGCAAGCACAACTTGATGCACAAATGCGGTTGTTGGAGACTCTGACTCAGCAGCTTAACATCCACTGTTCGAGTTCATATGCTGTTTCAAGTACATCTTGTGATGCAGTTGCTAGCAGCATCCCAGAATTCATCTATGATCCCGAAAGTGGAAACACTTTTCTCACATGGTTCAAACGTTGGGAAGATACATTTAGACGACGCGTGGAAGACTTGACTGTTGGTACGTAAGTTGGGAAGCAATGAACATGCACGTTATACTGACCATATATTGCCAAAGTTACCTCGAGAGCTGTTTCGAGGAGACGGTAATCCAACTGTCAGAGATATTCGGTGAGTCATCCTCATTGTTTAGTATTCGACATCGGTGTCTAAATTTGGTGAAACGCGAAGTCGATGAATATTATGTTCTAGCAGACATCGCCAACAGAGAATGTAAACGGTTCAAGTTACGCTCGTTGACAGAAGACCAATTTAAATGCTTAATATTCATCAAAGCTCTTCAGTCACCATAAGATGCTGAGATCAGGACTAGACTTTTGGCTCGACTGGATCAAGACCCAAATGTCACACTCAGAACATTGACAAATGAGTGTAAGCGGCTACAAAGCATCAGACACGACAACGAGTCGATTGAACAGGCAAATCCTAATTTAACCTGCAGTGGTGTCAATGCTATTACTATGTTAAAAGTTCAGAAGCCGATAACAACTCGTAACAAACCAACGACTGCATGCTGGTTATGTGGTGATTGGCATTATGTACGATTCTGTCCATTTAAGAAGCATAAATGTCAGATGTGCAACAAACGTGAACATAAAGGTCATTGTCCACCGAATCGTACACCTCAGCCCAAGAAACGTAGACGTCCTCGACACACCAGATCTTACGAATCTGCTCAAAGGGGAGGTGTTAGCGGGACATAGACTGGATTAAAGCATGCTCAATGCATGATTGCTTTGGTGCACGCTGATTGAATAAGAATTAGCCAATCAACGTTAGTCAATACTTAGTGAACACTTTAGAAATCTCATGTGAAAAACTATAAATATACTAACGTTTTCCCTATTGCATTTCTTACTTGCTTCTTATTTCCATTTAACCTTGTTATTTGAAATATAATCTTGTCCCCGTTCAACCGTGTTCTGATTTGGGGACTTATCGGGTGATTTGGTGTCCAAGAATACTAAGCAATAGGAATAGCTGGGTTATAACCGTAAGAGAGAATTATAACAATTAGTCATATTAATTTAATAAATGGTCAAGACATCTCAATAAAATATGGATGGACATTATTGACATCCAAACATATGAATCAGGCTTTTGAAAAAATTATCCTTAAGCAACTTATGAAGAGACCTTAAAATACATACGGATGTAATTGAATGATAAATGCCAGTTTCTTAAAGTGAATCGACGGATAAAGGTATATAATCGATATACTTTAAAACTATGATTCTATTACATGAATTAAATTCTAAAAATGGAGCATAAAATGTAGAAAAGTAGTTATCTGTCTGAAAGATCGTGAGACATTGATTTTCTTAGTCCCACTCATTGTTAATTTCATACTTTTCTTATTTTATTCCTTTTCCATACATTTTCAGAGATATGATGGGTAGAAGTGTGTTTCGTTGACAAGATGAGTTAATGCATCAAGCCAATTAACGGGACTTTCAGTTGATTATGGTTTTATTTAGTAATAGCCCTTTATCAACAGCAAGTTATCGAATAAAAAACCACCAGTGCCATTAAAAATAAAGAGAATCAAATACACTACTTACACGTAGTTCTTCCAAAGTGTTTACGAACTCGTTGGATGGATAGGTTGAAATTACACCAAGATCAGAATGTATTTCATTTAAACAGTGGTCAATATTATCAGTGGATGACGTAAACTCATCATAAGACTGTAGAAGTGGTTTCAATACCGCCTGCGCTCTATGAATTGCTGTCTGAACACGTTGTTTCATGCCCAACAACGATACATTCGCGTCATAACTTTCTCCCACCAAATGATCAAACATAGATGAACGCCAATTTACAACCCAAAAAGCCATAGTATGTCTACAAAAAAAAGAAATACCGCAGAAAAATAACCATAATTATGTAAATGAATATACAGATACAGGTAAATTTAATAAAATCAGAAATTAAGATTCTACAGTCAAATAATTTTATGGAAACTTATTTAAAGTTACCAACCATAAGTGATTAATCAGGTACTCCATTACTATGTACTGGATCAGAGTACTTATTTGCCATTCAAGACCATATGTTTTCCAAAGGATCGAAAGTTCCTACACGATATACATTGAGTTAAATGAAACGAAAACAAAAATAATGAGTGAACACAATTTATTCTCTAAAAACAGGAGGATAGAAACAACGTATCAGTTTACTGCTGTCATAGTTGATATCAATAAGATGGGTGATAAATATCAATAGAAATTAATGAAAAGTTTGGGTTCATATTAAATGGAATTTTAAGAAAAAATTAAGAGAATGTATCTACATAACTGTGGCCGATGCAGGAATATATCACTAAAGGTCTTCAAGCATAAACTATAGTTACCACAGAGATGGCACCAGGAAGGTTTGCAACACCAAGATCAACCGACTACATGAACAAGTTACAAATTTTGATCTGACCAATTTAAATATTTTCAAAACTAGTCTTCACACTTGGAAGCACAGCACACATAGGTGGACTATGGTTAGATACATTTTAAAAATATATAATTACCTAGATGATAAGTTTACAACTTAATCAACTACTAAACCGTTTATACTTGAAAAATTTTATATAATTAATTAAATTAACTCAAACGGAGCAGACTAATGTGAAGTATATTTACCTTTTAATAACCAGAAGGATAATCAGTTAGATCTACTTGTAGTTTCAACTGACAAAAGTTCAAGAAGATCACGCTTGAAAGTGAAGATTCAAATAATCATCAGTTCACTTAGTAATTATGAGTTGTGGATTACTTATTTACAGTCAAAGACGATTTCCTATTGAGTTTAATGACCGTTTGCCAAGCGATAATAAGCATCATACATATATGTTTTAGAATAAATTGTTCCTGAAAAAATGTTACGTAATGTATACTATGAGATCTATACACATAACATGTAGTTTTGATGTTATGCTTCTCCTAAAGAATGTGCTTTTTACCTTATGCCAGAAAGTGAACTTTATTTTAAGGTTTTACATGCGAAATATTACTTTAAAAACATAATATTTAGGGTCAGATACCTTCAACAAACGGGTCTGATCATATGACATAAAGGTATACTTTACTGAAAAGTGATGGTCAAGAAAAAGAGCGCATATGTAATTAAGACAATCTAAAAACGAGAAACCTTTTATATGTATTTACGAATCTGTCAAAAACCGGACCCCAAAACAACCATAAGACCAAATCAATGAGAAAAAGTTATTTGAAAACAAAATACACAGCTGAAAATGAAAATGAAGAGGACCAAAAACGACTAGGTCACAGAATGTTTTAAGATGATGTTAAACCAGACAGAAATTGATTTTATAATTTTTCTCTTACCTATGTGAAATCACACACTTAATATACAGAAGTACACAAACCATGAATGCGTTAACGCTAATAATTATTCATTTTAACCAATTCAAAAAAAATATACATGCTATGTAATGAAAATCGATAAATCATTCCAAACAGTAGTGACTAACCGACCAGAATGACTTGATAATCTATAGACATAAATTTAGTGACTTAGTGTTATGAAGGAACAATAGACTGATAAAATATCCGACAATTTGACTGAAGTGGTTAAATAGATAATCAGCTCAAACGAACGTTTTAAATCTTTGTAGACATAAGACAGAATCATTGGTCAATTAACTAAATATAAAAAAATAATATAACAAAATTTTGAACATCAGTGATATCCCGGATCCTAAAACTACATATAAAAATACTTTAACATATAACACTAGGAGAAACTAGATTGAAGCACACAGAGACCTATTACTAATTGATTTTAATTATCCAAAAGTGAAAATCAATACTTCCTACAATGTATGTGCATCTTACCTTGCCTTAAGAGCCGATAACCAATCACCAAATGTATCTAAAGCGATTGATAATGAAGTTTGTGATTGTGTCTTATAGTCTGCTTCCTCAGGTCGGAAAGAATCCAATAACTTATCCATAGTATTAGTCCACTGAGTAAGACGTTTACCATAATGCTATATAAATAAACAGGAAATAAAACTTTTATGTATAAAATTTACATAATATCAAAAACAAAGACATAATTGTTGGACATCATTTAAGAGTGTTGAGCTAAAGTAATTTGCGAAATTGATACAACGATATATTTACTCCGATCAAATACTGGACACATATTGAGTCATCTTATATGTAGTTCAGTTGATTAACAAAGAAAACGGTGATAAGATATATTGAGTATTTTTCGTAGTTATAGATACTAAACAATGATAGGTGAATCGAAGCTACGAAGACAGCGAAAATAAGAATAAAAAAGAAAGAAAGGAATTAATTGTTTCACATAACCCATTCATTACTAAATGAACTGAACTTATCCAAACAAAAACACAAATATGGTATAAATAAACTCTAAATTTGTTTACAATAACGACTGGTAGTGAATGTAAAATTACAGGAAAACAAAAGGTACTGATTTTCTATAATAGTTCAGATAAGGTCAAAAAGGATTACAGGAAAAATAGCAATACTTGAAATGGGTGATTTTAATACGGCATGAAGGGTATTATAATTCATGCCAAAAAATTACCGACATAAATACCTCAGGATGAATGGAACATATTTTAAGTGTTCTTGCCTTTAAGAATAGTAAAAAAAACTGTTTTTAATCAATTTGTGTGAAGAAACTCCATTTGTGTACTAGGTGGTGAGCCGTACATTAGGTGAGAGGGCTAGTGATACTACATGGGTATAAAAAATAGAAGTGAATGAAGCACGGTTCAAATTCGAATAAACGCTTTATCCTTTGGTAATCTACAGGTGCATGATAAAACAGAAGTTTATTACTTCGTTTTTTTCTCTCTTTCTATTTAAATATTAAGTCGATGAGAATAATAATCGTATCCTCTAGAAGTTTTATTTATTCTCCATTTATACAGTCACAGTGCACATAGGTTTAAAGACTACTCGTATATCTACAACCGACATATATTAATGGATAATAAAAAAATAAACCAGTAATTAAAACATAAAGTGATACCGTGAGATAACTTTTATCAATATCCAGTTGTCGACGTTCGTCCTCCAATTTCTGTGAGCATAGATTTTCATTAACGTGCAAATTCGAATCCAAAAGTCCAGTCACAGATTTTTCTTCTAAACGTAATAATAGTTTAATAAGTGGAAGCGCGTCCCGACGTATTGATGTTAAAAGAGGGAGAATATCAGCTTCCTTTACCAACGAACTATCGGGCAAATCCATGACTGAAAATGATGAGTAACAAGTGTTTTACAAGCTATTTAGTCTTTCTTACAAAAAAAGAGGAATGAGAGCATATGATAGTTAAATTTGCAGGTGATCACACAGCAACCACAGATGTACTACTAGCCGATGTCATTCTCTATGTGAATCACAAATGAAATTTCATAGAACAGGTTCTGTTGAGCTTTGGAAATCGTAAACTCAGTATAACGCAAACGAGTTGTCCTTCTGTTCAACAAAAGGCAAGTATATCTTACAGTAGTTAATCTAATTTTTTTTACCTTACTTAAAGGACTAAAATATTTTATTTGAAGGTATCGAATTCGTGTAAATTACAAGAATGCTATCACAGATTTCTAATGATTAATGCTCACGTAAGAGTAATCCTGATGTGAGATGCAGTTTTCGGAATATGTAGTGAATCAGTTGACAAAACGATTAACATAAAAAGCAACCGAAATAAATAAGATTTGTCATATATGTCTAATTATCATCTAAGGGCTGAACCACAAAATTAGTAACAATTTTAGCAAATAAATTTATTGTACATTTCAAATTTAGGTCTCAAAAATTAAAGGATTTTATTCCTTTTCATTCATGTTTGACTGCTGATTATATTCTTTTGTGCTGAGATTTCAAGCTGATAAATATCTGCACAATATATCAAAAATAAGTGAGCACCTAGATATTTAGTGGCTTTTCACACTACTTATTAACCTTCTGTGTTATTGGAAACTACAGAATGAGTAATTGCATTTCAATGATCTGACCGAATTAGTTGTAAAGACACATTATAACAACGGTTCAATTTCGTTCATTTATCAAACACACATTACATGAAAACATACCAGAAGCAGCTCCTAATTTAGTATGATTATTGTTGCCCCGATTGTAACGATATGCTTCGTTCTGTAAAAATATCGAAAACTTTATTACAAAAACCCTATAATCACATAAAACTCTTTTAAAAGTAGTAGACTATATAATTTTAGAAAATTATTTAATGTCTATACAGCTTACTATCAGATAATTATCCAAGATGAAAACATAGTGACATCAAAGGTTTAAGAGGTAATTGTAGGATGTTGTACACAACTAAACCATTTCGATGATAACAGCTATCGTTAACTAGTAGTATATTTGTGTTTAAATAGACATATATATATATATATATATATATATATATATATATATATATATATATATATATTGAGAATCGAATATTAAGAGAGATAAACATGATGAAACGAAAGTATATTTGTCCTAAACACAATATGAAAGATTTAAACTTACATGTCAATGACAGCTCTTAAAAAGCACTTCATTACACTTGAAGAGAAACTAATTACTACAGTAGATTTTACACATTTTATTATTAAGATCAAGACACTTTAGAAGCTGTGGTGGATGCCAGCTAAAACTGTTTCATTGAGTATTATTTACTCTATAGATAATAAGAACTGAATCATAACTACAGTGAAAACCCAGCAACATTTTACAAAAAAATCAATTTATCACTGACAATAGTAAAGAAATTTAAATAGCCACTACTAAAAGAAACAAATATTTTGTTACAAGTAATCAGTTTTGCAGGTCATGGAACTTTGTCCTTAAGCTTTCAACTATGATATAAAATTATCCTACAGAAAGTAAAAACCATTGCAAACTCAAAATGACCTTCCCAACAGATAACCTAAAATGACCAACTCAACTATCTTCAAACACAACGTCATGCAGGCAATTATATGTAATCTTTATTCATAAGCTAAAAAGTATAATCACAAACACCACTTTGATAAAATGGACTAAATGATCTCTAATTACCTTCAGTACGAAAATGTATGATGTGATAATCTAATTATAACATCTTCACGTCATCTGTGTTGATTTACTAAAGCGTAATTAAAATAGATAAAAATATGAAGAAAGGGATGCAAAAACTGCACGTTAAGTTAATAAACTAACATTATTTACTATTGTATCAGGATGTGGAGGTGTATGCAATTCAAGAAAATCAATATTAGCACAAGACGAATCGCACTTCTGTACCTCAATAGTTTGTTCCCAAGATTTCACTGATTCTGGAGAATAAGAATTATTTTGACTGACAGATAAATTGTTTATTAGTATGGAAATTTCTGAATGATGTGAGGGATGTAAAGAGACCTGGAATTTCAATAAAAAATGCAGATAAAGTTGTGTCGAAGAATTAGAATGATACATTTGTGGAAAGTGAAACTATTTAAGAACACTAATATTCATTCTGGATCAAGCTATCTCCCAACTTTAGAATACAGAATTGGTGCTAGATATTTGAAGTAAAAAGACAAATGTAATATTCTGTCGTGAGTAGTAGGACTAATCAAGGATAATTATCAACCGCAATGCTCATTCGCTGTAGATTCATAACTGTAACTCTAGAGATGCTATTAATAGCTGTTAATTGCTACTAAGTAAATTTTCAGAAAAAAGAAACACAAGAGTCAGGGGTTGTCAGGCTACAGCATAATGCTTTTTCCACTGTGCTTGTATTCACATAATGAGCCGACAGTTTCGACTACAAATATTTTGTAGTCTCGGGTCCTAATAAACACTTAAAAAGAGCGAATAACTAATAATCGAATATCTTAGGGTACGACAGACGATATGTGGGTCAGTTGAGAACAAGCCAGTAGACAAATGGTAAGTGATAAGCTGGTTCAATTACCACTCAATCGATATATAAATATTACAATGAAAACTGGTAAACCTACCTCTGCGTGAGATTTTTGTTGTGAGTTAACAATTTGACTGAGATGTTGAACGTGGGATTCAGTTAACTGAAGTGACGAGCAGGGAAGAATAGATCCATTCAATGTGTCGGCTGATTCATTACTTGGCAACAGTGATGGGGAATCAGACTTTGCAACTGTAACGGGAAATAAGAACTAGTTATTAATTATCAATAAAGAAGTGACAAATTTTGAATGATACAAAATGATGGGGTATGTAGTAAAAATTTGTCCTAGGAAGAGATAAACATAGGTCAATTGGAGAGCGTAATCATGAATTCCCAATATCATGTGTACCCTAAATAAAAACTTGATAGATTTTCATCATCAATAACTTCAAAGATTGAGTAAACTTGTTATGCGTTAATTCTACACTTTAACAATGTACGTTGGGATAGTAGTATGATATCTAGCAATCATTGAACGAATTTTAATTGCTTAACTATACAACTCAGAACAGTCAAGTGCTTCATCTAAGCGGATACCAGAAGTTAGACATTTTTATGTTCTGGGCTCTTATTTTGTTTAATATTTATGCAGAAACAAGGACGTTAAACACTTTATTCATAAATGAAAGAGGGATTTTTTATACAATTCATTTTAGATATGGTGACAATGAACCAAAATCATGGTAAATAAGTTTTTTAGATAAAATAACTGCTGAACTTAATAAGCATAGTACTTACCTAAACCTATTACCCCTCATGGAGGGGCATAGGCCGTCCACTAGCATTTTCCATCGGTAAGTATAGTAGTCAGTTTAAAATTAGATATTTGAAATGTAAACTTCAACTGGCAATTTAATGAGTTTACCAACAGACAGTCATTGGTTACCTAAACGATTTTTTAATTACAAGAGAATGTGATTGTAGTTTATTTGATCGAGGCTCATTCTGCCTGAAAGAATACTGTTATATAGTTCGTGTAAACTATTTACAGAAAAAATGAGAAAATGTAGTTTATCAGAATGGGTTTTGTGGAGATTTTTAGAAATTTCACAGGTTGAAATCATGAGTCAATTGAACGGAAGGCCGTCCAGTGCTTCCAGGTTTTCCATGGTGGTCTAGCTTCAACTGACTCATGATTTCAACCTGTGAAAATGTAGTTTCTTCACAAGGCAAAGAATATGTTAGAAATGCTATGAAATAAATATTTCATGAAAGTAACACTTGAAGCGCAAACTTTAAGTAGCTACATATAACTCCAAGATGAAGTTTGAAAGGCGAAATTAAATCATTTAGAAACAGTTAATTCAAAGTATAAAAGTTAAGCGAGTAATTTAGTATAAAACTTAATAACTGGGAAAATGAACCTTCCATGGTTAACATTTTACCAATATTAGTTTTGTGGTTTTCGGGAAAACAGGCAGTAAACTAACATAATCCAAATTCCATAGTCGAATGTTAAAATAAGAAAAAAACATGATTTTGGTAACCTCAAATACTGCTGCTTACACAATCGAAACAAATGACAGTTGTGATTTTAAAAATAAAAGTTATCGTTATCAAGACTTTGAATTGGTTTACTTTAATCGAAACATTACTTTAGAGGCTTAATTCTTAGATTATTAGCAAAAAATAGACACATGCAGAAAAAGACAATGAAGCTTTTTTACAAATAGTAAACTTACTTTGTAAATCACCCAAATCATCCCATTCCAGTCCATCAGCATTATTATCGTCTCTATGAGTGTTAGAGAGTTTTTCATCGAAATGAACATGGATACCATACACTAGACCATGGTCCTTATGAACATGTTTAAAGTTCTTTGATATTCCAACATGTTCAGAATTATTATTACCATCGTTACTATGATTATCGTTTGAATTACTCGGAGGAATAATTATTGACAAAAGATCAGGGGATTGTTGAGAATTGGAACGATATAGATTTGACTTGAATTCGGTAATTGGTAATAACTTTGAGCAGGTAGTGCCATTCAAATTAGAATTTGCTGCTTCACGTAAATCAACAGTATTTGGATTGGAATGGTGATCTATACAGGGTAACAAAGACGAAAATGAATTTCTTCGTAACTTTCCACAACTGTATTGTTTAGGACTAGTTAAAGTGCCAGGGGAAGAAAAACCACATGTTGCTATGAATTGAAGACGTTTATGATCCTTTGAGGAAAAAATACCAGTGGGCATCTCAAATATATCTTCTCCACTCCAAGAAGTAAGCCGAATTCGATTTGCTGAAGAGCTATTGAAAGGAAAGAGAGAAGATAAAAAAAGGATAGTAAAATCAGAACAAAATACACTATACACAAAACAGTTAATTGATGCAGAACCTGATAGCAGTTCTTAAAAGCCATATTTTATGTATGAGAATTAGTGAATATAAAGAACTTCTAAACCAATAACTGGAGTCAATTGTGTACAAAAACCAAGTTAACTTATACACATGATTTTCCAAAAGAGCTCACATGCAGATTTTAGTGGAATCAAAACAAACTTAAGGTTATTAAGGATACGCAAAAATGTTTTTTAACACTACATTCGACGAACTAGGTACAAACTATGAAAAAACTAAATGACTACAAAGTAAGGTGAATGGATATTCAGTCAATGTAACATCTAATATTCAACCAGAATTTGGTGCAAACAATTTGTAAGATACTATGACGAATTCAATAGCTTCTCAACTGAAGCATTTTGAAGGTTTTACACCCTGAGATTTATCACCTATTTAGAAAAAATGTACGAAAACAGAATACAAACCGTAGATTAAAACAAAAGACCTAATATCAAATTAACTCTGGTTTGGCCATACACTGGTGCATCTCATTGGATGGTTCGATACTACTTCTTTCACAACACCATACAAAACATTGACATACAACTTCTAAGATCGCGTTTATTGAGAAATAATCAGAGACATCATACCAGATTTACATGTCACAATTTCTGCATAAAAGATAATAATTCACATAAAGAACAAAAAAGTATCATCTACAAACAACTTCATATAGTCTGATAGATAAATCAGAGGGATGAATCGAAAATACCACTTTCAACTATAGACACTAAAAGTATTACAGTTGACAAAAAATTATCCAACGAAATTGTTGTCTGATTAAACAAAGATGACAAGATTCATTCAAAGATCTTAGTGATGTAATATATCGAACATTGTTTAAATATCAATAGAAAAAAATCGGTGGTAAAGAGACTCACATAAAAATTAATAAACAAAATTAAAGTCTCAAATAAAATAATTTCCAAGTTGCATTCAATTTTTCAATATAAATGGAAACAAACAGTTGTTCAGAAAAATTAAATGAGAAAATATGTTAACACAAAAATAATCTATGCAGAATAAATAGTCCTATATGTCAAGGTTAGATACAATTGTATGTGATCGCGTGGGTGCTAGCTATTTGATTAGACAATTTTATATAAGCTAGATAAAGCTTAATCCACATGAACATAAATAAATCCATAAATGAGAAACATGAAATGGAAGGCTATGAATATATATAAATATAACTAATCACTTTAAACAAAAAATGATCTAAACAGATTTAATTACATATCATCATTAATTACAATAAAAAGGTGAATTTGTTAATCAGGAAAGAAAATAAAGAAAATTTAACTGCTTAACAAACTTAGCCGATGCTTAATAATGACAGTTTGATTATAGTCCAAAATAAAACCGTCCATTTCCAGTTGTTTGAGTTATGCATGTTAGCTATGATGAAACTCATTTACCAAGTACAAGTTTATTTAGTTTCCAGACATCAAGTGCAAAGACAAATGATACTCCCAACACTCCAAACCGAAGGACATGGAACGAAGTTCGAACCGGCGAACTACTGGTTGAAAATCGAGTAATTTAGTCAGTAATTCAGCAGTTGCGTTAGAGTAATTTATCAATATTGTGGTTTACAAAACTAAGCACCATGCAGGCTCTCTAAGACCTGGATGGCACAGCTTCAGCTTGTGGAGCGACCACGTAGATACCAAGATCCTTGGTGACCCACGGTAACAAAAAACATTTTACTTAATTTCAGGTAAACTAAAATCTCATAAATGTTTGCTTGCATTGTGTTGTAACACTATTGTTGGATAGTGTGACAGTCAACATAAAAAATAATTCTACTGAGAAATAGTACAGAGAGGTAAATCATGACCTCGGAAAAAACAAGTACAATACAGAGAGGTACACTTTGGAAGAGAAATGCGCAGTCGTTTTTTGAAATATTGAATTCCAAACAATTAACTGTAGTTTACATCGCAAATTGATTTTATTTAAATAATCATTGAGAATCAACGAACACTAGACAGTTGTTTCATTCTCGCATGAGACTTCTTGACGACGCGCTGTATTATATATTCATTATCCTCTAAGTACATGTTATACAGCTAGTAATACAGTATTTCAGGTGAAAAGTACTTTTACTAGTCTTTAAAAAAAACAAAATCGCAAAAACCTTTTTTGTTAAATTAAATAGACATGTCCAGCTAACTGGTTATATCAACCTAATACATGGCGTCTATGAGAAGACTAATTACAAGAACATGAATAGTAAAACTGCCACATAACATTAAAAAATTGCACTATGACAATGAGTCGCTTGGACTAGGTAAATCAGTGAGATTCAATGGTAAAAAATCACACATTCTTCAACATATAAAAACTAATTTTCTTTCTTAATCACCCCCAACATGGTTAATAATTTGTGGACTAGATAAATGTACATTTTATTGTGATGGAATAAACACTGATAAAATTTTAAACTAACCATTTGCGTTTCAATCCAGAATCACTGGAATGAGAACGTGAATAAAGAGAACCCAAATCATGATTATCTACTACATGCATGCTCAGGTTATCACGATTAAAATCTTCTAAGGAATTTGTTTGTTCGAAACAAATATCAAACGGACATTTGGACTGTTTTGGAGAGTATTTATATTTATTAGTCTTGTCATTATCATTATCATCACTCTTCCCATTAGGCTCCATAGAAGAACTGACCAATTTAGTTGGTGTACGATTATATATTTCATGGAATAAACCAGAAGGTGAATCACTGATTGCCTCTGAATCATTTGAATCTGAGAATAACGAAAATCTTTTGAGCGATATATATGATTATAAAAACGAAAACATCTACTGAAGTGTAAGTAAAATGATTGAGTGCAAAATTAAATGAAACTGACGTAAAGTGACCGAGTATTTTGAAAAAGCTATTGTTTATTATTATTGATGGCTTTATTCAATATTATATGTTTAGAACAATATAAAATAGGTGACACGCTTTATTTACAAATGAACTGCCTACATGACATTATCCAATGTGGGTTAAATGCGACTAAAAACCTCAAGGTTAGCTAATGACTAAAAACCACATGAAAACTTTAGGAGCTTAAACTATCCCAGACTTCATGAACTGCGTACGAGACATTTATCATACCAAAATAACCAGGAAAATCATGACAAGATTCTTTGGATAATTTTAAATAAGTATAGATAAAATCGGAAACATTTCCCAATAAATTTCAGTCGTCATACTAGGATTGATATCTTTGAAGATAGTTAAGTATGTGCATTTAATATACTGTGTTTACGTGAACATAACTTCCTAAAAACCCATGAAAGTTTGTAGCGCTGTTTAGATCAGATAATACAAATTTAAATAAAGTTTTACATCTGTCGAGCAAAGCATAGAAATAGACCTTAAATCCAAGATTGAAAATTATGTCGAAGTGGAGTTTTAGAACAGTATCAACTGGGGTATTACTGACTACAAAACAGAAACCCAGAGAATTTTTATTGAATGATTGTCCTCATCTAATAATCTGTCAAGAAATAAGCTGTTTTAGTTGAAATCCCTTTTCTATATCCATTAGGTCATAAGAGTTACCTCAATCTAAATTACTGTTAATATACCGTAATTAAGTAATCATTATCTAAATTTAATTTTCTCCAGATAATGTACTATTTGTTTAATGACTATAGACATACAAACCAGTCTTTTTAAAATATTTGATCAATTCATTTTTATTTCATTTTATTTTTGCATTCAATCGCTTTTCCTTCATATATATATATATATATATATATATATATATATATATATATATATATATATATATATATATATATATATATACTCATTTTTAGCACTATATTTACAAAAATGTGAAATCTATAAAATAGAGTATTTTCAGTCCGAAATTTCGTGTATCCTTCTATAACAGTATTATTGACATAAATTATTAATCAAGTATAAATTGTGTGCTCGATTTTTAGTCGCAAACTTTGTAAAAAAAAGCTAATATGACTGTCACGCAGGGTTCAAATAAATACAACGGATTTAAAAAATGCAACTAAAAAGTCGAATGACCACAAAACCACATTTTCTTACGACAAAAATTGCAAATATACTTAGAACAAAGTAATCCAAAAAAGTGTCCAGATCACCAGTCAGAAGCTAGAACGAGTTACTGGTCAAAATGGGTGTGGCGGACAATTATTGATTACGTAAGTGATGAAAGTTGTTAGTTGTGCAATCTCAGGTTGATCTATAGACTTTTTAGTGTATCAAAATTAGCTAACTGGACTTAATTATTTTAAATAATGTGGCTGTTTAAAATGAATTAACTCCGGGCCTATACCTAATCTACAAAACTAAATGGATGAAATTGCTTTTCTGCGTTTAGGCGACTTTAACATGAATGCAGATATCAACTGTTGTTCGGTACAAACTATGTCTAATCATCTAGGTTGTTAATAACTTACTTCAAATCCTATAATTTGAACTTAAAAACCTAATTACCTGTATTGGAAGTCCATAAACAGTCCGAGGATTGAGAAAGAATATTATCATTTACAGAAGAAAAGGATTTTCTATTTTTGGACTTCGTAGTGAATAAATCAGAAATAACAAAATTAGAATTAGATAAACCCAATTGATCTGCTGCTTGACAAGTTAGGAATTGGTCAGCATCACTTGCAAATCCTGATTCTGAACAACACAGTGAATATACACTGGAAGTTGAATAATCGACCCGATTGTTCACATCAAAATTCAGCTGGAATCAATGTTTGAAACCATGAAATTTAACAAAAGAAAAACAAGCAATAATTCATTTTATGAAGTCGATGCAAATCGTCACTGTCAGCCAAAATCAATAAAAATAAAGAAAACTAATCAGTATACATAAAGGACATCATTTACTGAACGTAGCCAGCATCCTTAGTATTGCAAATAACTAATCAAATAAACAATAAATCACTAGTGGGAGCTTACTTTAACCTTCAATAAATTTAGCTTAGAGGAGTACCCAACTTGAGATGAATGTTTGGTGAATAAAATCAAAAAGAGAATGTCACACTAGTCAAAAGACCAATAATAAAACTAAAGCACTACATTGAATCGAAATGTTTAAGCTACGTAATATAATTCAGAAACTCCTCTGACTTAAGATGAACACCAACCGTAGGGAAATAAGCAGTTTCGTATTTACTTATGGAATACTTCCAAAGTGTAACAAAATGATTTATTATTCTAGACGTAAAACAATTGATAACAATGTCACGTATGTTGTTGATCTACAATAACTGAATATGTATTTTTTCATGTGACAAAGCACAGAACATTTCTTTTAGCTCATCAAAAAGTAAAATTCTTTCACTGTAAAGTTGCCTACAAAGTGACTTATGCAAATTTTTTTTCTAAACACTCAATGAGTCTTATTTTCGTTTCACCGATGAAATCCTCTAAAAATTGCAGTCCATTGACCTTCAATAAACTTCTCCTAACAGCTGATTTCTGAATAAAAACAACTGTCGAGTGTTCTTTTAATTTGTAGACAGGAGGAAGGAAACCACTGTATTTAAAAATATATGCTTGTGAGGAAACTACTGAATATGCAGGAAATACAGTGATTAGTGAAACAATATCGTTAAGTTTAGTAACTCAACTTTAAATGCATTAATTCTCAACTGAATCAGAAAATTGAAATCTAAATTAAACTAATTTGCTTCAGTAACGATGCATATGTTTGTGTTTGGCTTTGACATTGCATTTAAATGAAAGAGCAGATGATACTATCTGGTCCCCAAAACGGAGCGGATAGAATAGGATTTAAATATACGACCCAAGTTTGTTAACTATTATATAAGCATGTTGATAAAGTAAATAAGTATATATTAAACACTCGTCGACTTAAGGTACTCAATGTCTGTTGGTCGGATACCGTAAGCAACAACCTACTCTGGCAGAGAACAAACCAACTTCCAGATGAAGAGAAAATAGGGACATTGCAGTATTTGTATGAACTAATGGTTCTTTTGTACCTGATTGCCCACTGATTCCAAATTCCAAATATAATACGTTCATTTGTGCTCATCTAGTTCTACGTGCTGTAAATTGTACTATTTCGGGAATTTCAAGTTAGTACAATAATTCGAATATTTCTAATATTTCGAGTATTTACATTGGCGTCGCGATGGAGCCTGTGATTGAACAGTTGGATATACATTCAAATTCAGGAGCTTTCAAAGATTACATGAATAGGTTTGAAATCAAGAGTATGAGAAGGAAATAAGTTAAGGATGATGAAATGGTGGCACATTTCCTTACATTCATCAGAAAGGATGCTCTTATTAAAGGATTTGGTATTTCCAGATAAGCTTACTTCACTTCCCTATGCAACTTTAAAAGAACTACTAAATCATGTAGAGTACTGTCTTCGAATGCTGTGAAAGAGCAAAATTTCAAAAATGATTCGCCACGACAACCAAAAGATTAGAGAATATATCCCTGAATTGCAGTGTAATTTTGGTGATCAAGTTCATGTGCAGCTGTGTGACTGGTTGATTGTAGTAATTAGCATACCAAATGTGGAAAAAAAGCTAATACAAATGCCGAAATGTTCCTCTCAAGATGCTAGAACTGTGTGTATTAATTATGAGGCAGTGCATGAAATTTACTTCCGGGACATCAAGAATTTTACTACGTTACCATATATCCTAATCCGATGAGTACTTAAGGTCCCACAGGTAGGCGTTTAATTGACGATAATCCTCGTTTTCGTGAAAACATGAAAAACAATTCATTCAGGAATTGCAAAGCAGGTTACAGAGGTGAGCACAAGTTTGGTAAATGTTTATCCTGGGGTAAATTTCACTCACGTAAGTCATATGTCTTTCATCATGCTAAATGCTTTAAGTATGGTAAAAGGGGACACATTCAGTCGGATCGTAAAACTACTGTTCATTTCGTCACAAGTAATACTAAACTTTGTAATTCATATCCTATTAATTCGAATGGTTCTAATAATCATATACTTATTTATTTATTTTAACACATAGATATTGGTAAAAGGAGGCACCAAAAAAAGGTCGTCCATAAATTATAGGCTCACTGTGAATTCTTCATTACTGATTGCAAACAATCTGTCCTAGGTCAAGAAAATTTAAAAATGTTTCAAGGACAGCTTTTTTTAGTGACCAATGAAAGCGATTCTAATGAAGTGCTTGATAACTAGCTAACTACTGAAGTGAAGTGCGAAGAATTGTGCACGACTCCGAATTCCCCTCATTCTCATGTGCAAGCAAGAAATCCCAGAACCTTAAAAAACGCCAATTCTACTACTGCTGCAAAATTCAAAGATCCGGAGAGGAAAGCAGATAAATTCCCTCAGTGAAGAATCACTAGACCGTATGCAAAAGTGATAAAATTCTAAAAGATGGATAGTGGCTAGCAGTGGAATAGGATGAAATGCGCGTCCTGGATTTCACTGCTCGCAGTCCTAAACATCAGTGGGGATATTCAGACAAACAATACAAAATGAATTTAAAATGGTGAAATTTTCCTAAATTACCCTAAAGGCAGAAGCCTAGTATGTACCAAACCGTAATTTAATAATAAGTTTAATTATAACTTCATGTATTGCAATGATTTGTTGTTGTGGATTGTGATTGGTTCGTCTGAGATTACGGTAAAGCTTAATTACGAACAATTTAGATCCACTTAACAAGGATAGAAACTAATGAGAGCACGATAATACAGTAACTGACATACACAATGTCTCAACAGTAATCCCTAAACGATAGAACCCAAGAAGGTAGAAGTGCAGAAAAAACTTGATATTTAACGAGGGAAAATTGAACTATTTGTATACAGTAACAGAATATGGCTTCGAGATACAGGAAAATTAGCAAACTAAGAATGATAACCAATCAGAGAACAGAAAAGGTCGTGCGAAAATATGAATCAGAGATGGTATGGAAGTTATCATTACAGAAAAGAAACCAGTACTAACTAACAAAAAAAAAACTGGATAACTTTTCGTCAGGTGGTTGATATGAAGTTACCTTACTCTACTGAAATGCTTTTATCGAATAGTATCGATTAGAGACTTGTTGGTTGACGACGCACAGCCCGAGTGATTAACAAACGTGACTAAGATTTCAATCAGCACGACTTCACAAGCGACCCAACAAGCAATTTTCTAAAGCGAACTAGTAAAGTAAATATTGAGTCAAGTTATCAGCTGTAGTAGCGGACGATAATAAAACTGTTTGGGTATTTAAACAGCCTATCTGATATGATTACATAGGTCAATCATTAACAATTTAGTGGGTTCGGAACTGAAACTCTACTCGTAGTTTAGGAATTGCAAAACTGAGATATGAATGGTTGCTCACAGAAAAATAGTATTTTCAAGATACCCCAAGCATAGATAGCATAACATATTAGGAAAAATAAAACTTTAATCATACACAATTTTACTGTAAATATTAAGAATTAAAAGTATAGCTAATTATACTGTCCGACTATTCAACTACTGGTAGCTTTAATCATGAGGTTTGAACGTTTAACTGGAAGACCCCAAACCACGTTATCAAGTCGCTGGAACACATCTCCAGAAGAATTATTCTTCTGTCTTTACGGAACCCTAAAATAAAACTAATTCACCAGTGAATCATAATTTACACATATAGACCTAGAGACATAGCTAGTCATAAAACTAAAAAAGTTAAGTAACAGGATAACAAGTTCGCGTGATAATAGTAAAATACATATAACAAACACGTTCTGAGGTCAGTAACATAACGCTGAGTAGTAGATGATGAGGATATACACAATTCACTCTACCAAATGAATGCATAATTTTTGATGATAAATTGTCAGGAATTATACAACAAGCAGAGATAGTTAACTTCTTAAAAGTGTTATTTTACTGAAACCCAGGCCCAATAACCAGACTCCATTGATTAATCTTTTAATTCTATGTAATTCTCGTACTCAATTTGATGAGTGCTGAGAATTTCTATTTCCTTTGAATGAATTGTTATACTAGTTATATTTACAGCTCTCAGCATCAGCTCATTTCTTAAAAAAGAATGACTGGGTCCCATGATAGCTATAATCATGGTCTGATTATGTAAAAATAACTCCAAAAAGGATCTATAGTTATAAAATAATAAGTTATTTGGATGAAAAGCAAATGGATTCACTGAGTTTATTATTAGTAGTATGAATGTGAGCTAAATACGAATTCAAGATAACATATATTTTGAAACCGTAAACGTACAACAAATTGTGTACGAAATGATAACTCACATTTTCAAAAGAACTTCGATCTTTAGATAAATACTTCCAGCGTTCAAGTAGCTCCAAGTGCATACACCAAAGAGACCAGCCTCTGTAAGTTAACTTGTCGATATTCTCAGTAAGTTTGCAGATAAGCAAATCAAAAGTTTCACCTCTATATAAATGCAGATTATTTTCGATACTAAACATATGGAGCTGTGAAAGTAAACAGCTAGCGGCGGACAGCGTTTGCATAGATCTTTTGAGAGAGATATGCTCCGCCTATATAGGTGTGATATATACAACCTTTAGAGACAACCACAATAAACATGAGAATTTATTTGAAAAAAAAACCCAAACATTTTGATGTTACATCATTCAAATAAGATATAATGATATACCTTAAAAAGTGAGGTGTTTGAACACAGAACATACTACACCTAAAAAAGAGAAAGCTCCATGCAATAGATCACCCTTTTCCCTCATGATGATTGGTGGTAAAATTGCTGTTGGTGATGGCTTTGTGAATGGAAATAAATTAGAGAGGCCGAAAATACAATCAGATGTGGGTTTAGAAGTTACAGTTCCGAACCTGCTATTCCTTTTTATTGTTGAGAAAAGAGTGCCTAGTACTCTTCTAAGACTGCACATGACTGAAATAGGCTTATTCACACGGAGCTACAGGAGAATTATCATTTCAGAAACCACTGCTGAACATTGCGGTACTCAGTACTTGACATATGGTGATTTGATATAAATAAATGTGTACAAACTAAAGCTTTTAAATACAGTAGAATCGATCTATGAAACCCCTGAAAAGTATTAAAGGTGGGTCGCAAATCCAAAACCTGATCCTTCAACACAATGAGTGAGCAGATATTCTTTATCGTTCTTAAACTTAATGAGAAACAAAAAACATTATACTAGTAGCAGTACTTAGCTGCTGTAATAGTTAGCTGTTGACGGTTTGAGACACATTATGTCAGTGCCTTATTAAAACTAAGATTGGGAGGTATGAAAAAATAAATAATGCCTAACCAAAAAATGAGACATTTCTATATGGTACTTCCAGAATAATAAACCTCTCTCTGGGGCTAAGACGCTTAATAAAACCTTCATTTTCGTACTTTTATTGTGCTTCAATTTTCCAATCAACTATGACTGACTGTCACATATCTCAAACGTAATCCACGTAATCACGTGGTATAATTGATACTGAAGAAAAAAGATAAAATCTTACACTCAAATCTATCTGCATTTATTTATTTATGTGAACACATAAATACTGGTACAAGGAGGCACCAGATACGTATGCGCCACACAAATCTCATTTGATATGTGTCAGAGCTGTGATACTGCCCGGGCGCTCAAACCGAAGTAGGTGGTTTTCTTATAGGGCTACACCCGGAGCCTTCGACCTGAAGGTCTAACCCACAAAGCAGTGGAGCATCATAAGATGCAGTCCCATGGTAGCCGGTGACCAACGATTGATTCATACGCCATTTGTTCCCTCAGTATACTGGAGCCCATGTGCACCATCGGTTTGGAATCAGGGTTTTCCAACTCCCTTAGGTGGACTCTCCGTGTCCACCATTTATCTGCAGTCACTAAATTTACAATTATTTATGTAGTGTGGCTTCTTAATTGTTGGCAATTGTGAGACAATTTAGTCAGAACTAGGAGTAGTAAGAAACATAAAATATTTAAGTTAGTTAGGCCCGCCAAATTCGTTGGCAGGTTTCAAAAAGACGGGCGTTTATTACTATGAGTCACATTAGTTTATACCAGTCAATATCAATGAACCCCCTAGATGAACACTGGTTTAAATCTGTATCTAACTAAATGGTGGACTGAAGAAATTTAGTCGGTTTTTGAAACAGCATAGACAATACCTCGATGGGTACCTTGATAAGTAGGATGCTGTTTTACAACTATAAACCCTTTGATCATTAGATGGAAATAATATTTATTGATGTTTTGGATACTTCAGAATAAAGTGTTTATTATATTTGCCCCCTGAGTACATTTAAGTAAACACAAAATATGACCAAATCACAACCACAAATACGTATTCCGCAAGGTTATTGGGAAAAACTCACATTTTTTTACCTTGAATAATGTCTAAATCTGGACACGTAAAATGGAGAAATAAGTATACATTTACGTAATCTGATTATATGAAATAACTCAATAATCAGTTTGTCCCAGTTACTTCAATTTTAGACGATTATAGACACAAATTATGGATTACATTTTGCCTATATATTTGTAGATCAGTGGAATTTTTGGAATTAGGATAAATAATGGAGGTGTAATGTAATGAACGAAAAAGGGTCTACTAACACAAGCTCATGGACAAAAGAAAACTAACCTCGAGTACACTCATATCTGAATTCAGGTCACATGTTCCTCTGATCGACTTGGTTAGTACGGTCTGTAGGTCAAAAGTTCCTAGTTACAAATTTAAAAAGTAATCAAACCATAGTATGAGCTTGGAAGTACAAGGAGAAAAAGTGGGGAAATGGAACAATCATGCACTGTCCTGAGATGCCACACACAGCGGGAAAGGACAGTCGGATTTACAAAGTAGGATTATAGAAATTTTGAGTATTGAAACTAAATACATAAATGATATAGATTGAGTTATTTTACTGCATCCTTAGTGAGATGATAATCATTTTATAAAACTAAGTAAAGATATGTACATTTTCCTAGTCTTCAGTAAATAATTTTGTTTTGGTGTGACCACCTTATTTTTTCCAACTTTTTCATGAGTCAGAACCGATGACAATTCCAACTTGGGAAAGAGGATCTTTAAATTTGTGAAATTAAGATTTAAAATGGATTCTGGGGCTTTTAAAGATACTCAAACGACACGGAGGGTTCACCTAGGGGAGTTGGGAAACCTTGATTCCAAAAGAATGGCGTACATGGGCTCCAATCTCCTGATGGAATGAATGGCAAATGAACCTATTGTTCACCACCGGCTACCGTAGGACTGCATCCCCTAACGTTGCTTTACTACCTTGTGGATTAGACCTTTAGGTCGAAGGCTCCGAGTGTGGCCCCATAAGAAAATCGCATGCTTAGGTTTGAGCGCCAGAACAGAACTACAGCCCACGCACAAATCAAATGAAATGAAAATTACCACTGGAAATCTTATTCTTGCTTTAATTAAAGGTTACATAATTTGCATTCACTTGACATTTTATTTATTTATTTTAACACATTGGTATTGGTACAATGAGGCACCAAATACATGTGCACCACACAGATCTCATTTGATATGTGTCAGGGCTGTGATACTGCCCGGGTGCCCAAACCGAAGCATTTTTATATACTACGCCATTTATCTACTCACTTCTATTCTCACTTTTAGTATTCTTATTTTACAACTTACATAGCAGCTCGCCAATAGTGTAAACCCTGTCCTACCTAAAAGACCTCGGGTCACTGACTCGTCGAAAGTTGCTATCACCGAATACAGTTACTGAAAGTCTTTCTGAAACTAAGTATACTATTCAAAATGGCTTCCTTCAACGTTCACACACTAATGCAGATCTGAAAACAAATAGGGTTGGCTATGTCTTAATATCGATGTTTGTTGTCTATCCGTGACCCGTATTTAAGACTCTAGTGAAGTACTACAAATTCGCTTTCCATCTGTCGCCTTGAAAATCTTGTTTCACGTACGTTTATCCGAAGACCCTGTGGCATCTTCGTCTGGTCTTGCTGATGTTGATATCGAATTGAACGCTAGAGCTGAGACATCACTGATTGGTTAGATCCCCATTAACAGTCGGTCATGTGTTGTTAAATTAGAAAGTTCCACCAAAGTGAGAAATCGATGTTGAAACGATGTCTTTTCGTCATCTCCGCCTATTCTCCAACAGATTGCAGCCCGGATGCTAGCCAGGATGAGTTTTGCCATCAATTGGCGTCCTCCCTCTACATCCCAAGCCTGGACTTAGATCGATCACGTCGCGATCAGCTACTTCTGGTGTGGTTGTGTACAATACTGCATTGGTTGCAATTGCATGACGCCATGAAAATGGAGAGTAAATTCGCTCGTATCTTCGTCAAACGTCCCGCTTATAAGCACTGGGTTTCTCCAGGCTCCTTTACAACTCATGGAAGCCCATTGGCCTGCTTCGAGTGACCGCGAGTTTGACTATAAACGAGGACTGTTACGTAATGAAATCGGGTAAAGCTTGCGTAAGGACCGAGAAGCCTGGTGGTCGAAGCGTGCCAATAATTTGGAAGCAGCAGCTGCATCTGGTAACAGCTGGAAGCTCTTAACTCATCTAAGTCACTGGCAGTAAGAAGTCTGGTGTGAGCGATGGGATGCCAATCACTAACATCCATCGACGTCTTGGACGATGGGCAGAATTCTTTGAAGGGCAGTTCAACTGGCCTGCTGCTCCGGCAACATCGATCTGACTGTCCTGACCTCCATGACCTGTGACGACTGATGCACCAAATGAGGCGGAAGTCCGCAAGGAACTCCAACTCTTGAAGCGCTACAAATCACCGGGCCCAGATGACTTGCCTCCGGCTCATTTTACGGATGGTGGTGACTTTCTGACTAAGGAACTGACGACGTTGTTTACAAAGGTCTAGGAGCTAGAGAGTGTACCAACGTCATGGAATGAGTCGACAGTTGTCCCTATCTTTAAAAACGTTTCACGTCGTTCCTGTAACAACTATCGGGGAATAAGTCTACTTCCGATTGCGTCTTCTGTCATATTTCGTAGATTGTTCAAAACCCGAGAAAGATTGACTTGCGAGGAGCAGGTTGGTTTTTATTCTGGTCGAGGATATATTGATCATATTTTCACCCTCTGTCAAATGTTAGAACACTGTCATACTTATCACAGGCCAACAATCATAGTGTTTCTTGACATCAGGACTGCCTTCGATTCGTTGGACAGGACTGTTTTCTGGGATTGTCTATGGAAGACGGATGTGCCTGAGAAGTTTATTAACATCTTAAAGGCCCTATATACAAACACCACAGGGAGGGTGAGGACATACAACCACTTCCCTCCATTGTTCCATTCAGTCAGTGACTATTTATTAATTCATTTGAACACATAAATATTGATACAACGGGGCACCGAATACATATGCGCCACACAAGTCACTTGATTTGTGAGATTAAACAGGGTGGCCTAAGGCTTTGTTGATTAGGATCGACATAATTTATACTCCGATCCTGTAAAAGTTTGGTTGATAAAGTAACTTAAAGGACCAAAGCACTCAACTTTATTAATTTCGCCATAAATAATCAGAAAAAGTTGTATTCCATCACAATTTTACACAAGGTGCCAAATACTTATGGAGCAGATGGGTGGAAAACAAAATTTTGTAGTTTACCGATTGGGTGAATGAATAAATAACTTTAAAGTGGGATTGGTTGCAAACATAGATAGATGGATGGAGTAGGAGGTGGTGTTCCTAACGGCAAAGCTAAGCAATCAAACTACGTGAGTCGGAGAACATACCACTACCAAAGAATAAACAGCTGCTCATATATTTATCATACTATCTGAAAATTTATCAAATAACCAAATAGTGGTAAACTTACGTCTACTGATTGAGCGAAGCTTAGCCTCAGTTTCTTGAACGTCCAGTTCAACATCTATAAATAAAAAATTACGCTTTAATAAAGTCGAAATCGTCTTTTTACAACATTGGTTTTGCAAATCGTGTAAAATTACGGTCTCTAACCTTTTATTGTACGTGATGGGTCGTGAAATAAGCTCATCGGTTGAACGAGACTTGTAATATCACTCCACATAGTTTCGATTTCTTGAAGTCTACTGGAAATATTGACCTCAAGAAAATCTTCCACTGATTCAGTTGCGGAATCAGAGGTCTTTCCGGACATAACCAAAAGCTGGTTGGCCAGGGAACGTAAACGATTAAGGTCAACGTCTCGATTGTTAATACATCCAAGGTAATTCTGAAAATCAAAAATGACATCAATGTAACTTCCTAACAAGAACTCATATTTCTAATACATGTATGGACAGCTGGTACATTTTAATTCATACAGCTTTTTCTTCCCCTAACCTAAATCCCCTGTCGTTATAGAAGATGAAATGCTTTGCGTGATATAAAGTCTAGTAGCCTCTTTGGTTTATGTAAATTCACAGATATACAGACTGATGTTTTTATTACTATATCCAGGCAGTTCTTTAAAAATACCTACGACCGAATACCTATAATCTAGACGCCCTACACTAAAAAGACAAGACATACAGAAATTATTTAGCATCCAACTTACAAGGCAATAAAGTATGTGCCGATAGTGCTATATTAAAGAAAATGAAGTATTGCCAGAAAAGATTCACACCAATAACGATGCGAGCAAAAAACGAAAGTTAATAAGGGCGACCATTAAAAGGGCGCATATTAGGAAAGGTAATAAGATCACACTTGCAGTGAAAATGTAATATGTAAAGTAGATTTGTATCTACTTTTTAGAGTAAATATTTTGCTCAAAATGAAACCGTATGTAAAGTCGACTAATTACATTCTAGGTTGTTTTTTATACCTTATCCGAGTGGATTTGGAATACGTGAAGCGCTGTAAGGGCGAAAAACATGCCTTAATTTCAAAATTAAGTAGTAGTCAGAATTCTTTGTTAAATGTTTTCCCAAAAAACATTATCTTCTGTGCTCACAAGCGAAGCATAACTAAATTTTATTGTCGACTGTCGAAGTTCGTGATAGCAAGGGTTTAACGATTAGGCTTTATTTAGTATTAATTGGATTAACAAAAGGAACACACTAAGTGGACACTATCCAATCATTGTTAACATGGAATTACTATGTATGTAAGCCAGACTGTCATTTTTCCCAGTTGAAATCATACTTAAACTTACGTTTTACAGATAGAAACGTCAAAACATTTTTCCAGATTAGTTATCTTAAATCAAAAATTCAATTACACTACAATATCTTAGATGATTTTGCTGTAGAGGCGATAGCAGCTTAATAGTGCAGTATTTCTCTCATATCGCAAGCTTCAATCACCACTGTAAATTACACGATAATGCAACCTTCCAGAAAGCGATTTGTTCATAATTTGGATGATAACCGCATTCTATATTAAGAGATACTGTTTGATTACAAGTTCATGGTGTAGCTAAGTCATAATCATGAACTATAGGTTGAAAGACGGAACCCCTAAACTCTTGACTGGTCACATTGGTAAACATGAATAGACTCCTAAACTTGCCACAACCAAATACCAGAATAGGAGGGGCAGAAATAGCATTAGTGGCAACAGAAAAGATTAGGAATCGACAAGATAAGGATCAGTGGAGCAAATTTTAAAAAACGAGTCATTTCATCAATTTTGAAGCTAGGGAGAGAAAAATGTGGATGCATCTGAGCAGTCATATTAAATCTTTAATTATTGGTTACCACGGTCACGTGAATCCTAAGCATGTAGTCTGCGCCTACCTGCACGACTCAGTTGACAATCCGTGTATCCCTGAACTGATGCAATACCTCGAGTCATAGTACTCCTACTTGGAAGAGAAAATGAAGTCCCAACTACCTTTAAATCATTTTACAGAACATTAAAAGTGAGTTCATGTTTGAACTTGGCGAACATACCTGATTCATATAAGATTCTGAACGACTAACATAGGCCAAACGTCCTTCGGAAGCCATTTTACATACTCTCTTAAGCCACCTCTCCAATTCTTCAGATAATAAGCAGAATTGGGCGAAGAGTTTGGCGTAGGCGTATATTGTCGTATTTTTTGGCAAACGATTGTTATTCGTAAATCTCTAAAAGGCATGTTAACAAAGATATAAGTTACCACTTTGTCCATGAGGGAATAGCACTCGTCACGAAGATCAAGAAATGATTGTGTCAACAATAGTGGAACGTTGTTATCCAAAGCCATAGGGATGCTCATTAGTAGCTCAGGTTAACTTTGAATGAAATTACTTCAACATAATCATGAATATATGAAATTACTGCAAACTTCCTAATTACTGTAGCAAAAATCTAGTTAACAAATAAATCACAACGAACTAATAAGGGAATTTCCTTGCAGGTAAGATACACATTGACCAGGTCACACTAGACTTTAAAGGCGCGCGTAAAACCAAAGCTCTCAATCTCGCGCTGGATGTACAAAATACACATCAAATCCTGAGGCATTGACATATAGTTGGTGAGAACTGGAAAGATGCGAAGATTATCTGGGTAAGTAAAGACATGAAGAACAAGCTAGGCTATGGTTTCTTGCGAATATGTTACATGTCGAGTATTTTTGATGTCCTTATTTATCAGCTGCGAACAGTATCGTCGCTGCCACACATCAATTTTTGCAATGTTTGTGCTTCTTACATAGCTTTTATCTCAATTTGTCGGTAGTTTGACCTAGTTGTTCAATCAATGTTAAGTCGACTGTAATGTGCTTATTTGTATCAACCTGAACCCAAGCAAGTAAAACGAACTATTTATGAAGTCAAAGATATATTCTAGTGAGAGTTGTTCAACAAAAATGAGCTCTGAAGACCCTTTGCATTTGATTTACCATCCTGAGGGATGCTGATGAACAAGGATGTCTAGTAGTTGTTTAGCAATTGCTAAACAACTTGCATTAAAGTGCAATTTGAAGTGATTCTGAGTTAAACCATTTTTAAATGTTATGTAAGTTTCTGGTGCACGATAGCAAACAATTATTACGATTATAAGTATTATCATTTTGATGGAACTGATATATCAATACGTAACGTATCTGAGGGAGAAAAATTATGTGACTAATAAATGACGTTGATAGACTTTTCATCCCGTTTTCTGAGCACATACAGCAACTGTACAGAACATTACTGTAGGTATCGCATTGAGTAGTCACATACTCTTCATTAGTAGAACGATGCATGTTTGTTTTGGACATGGTAACTGAAATCTGTCGTTAGTACTAATTTATGATGTTTCTGTTATATGATTAACGAATGGGTTTCTGTAAACAGAATCTGCAACCACCGACCAAATTATAAACAGAGATCTAATGCATGTGATTTGTAATATCTAGATTGCGCCCTCCGATGATTTCATATTGTATGTTAATAATAAGTTGCTGTCAGAATTATGAACGTCGTAATTGGATTTTCCAAACATTTCATCGTACTACTTGAAGTTAATGAATCAAATTATTTGATGCCTACAATTCGTTTGCCAATGCTAAACGGCCAGTTAACATTGTATGAGGGTTGGAGAGTGAATGGCATTATTTACACCAAGCAAGGTACTTATAGCTGCATTCTGTTGGCAGCTATTCCATCAAAGTATTGAATGTGATACTCACAACTCAGTCTAGCCATTTGTTTCATGATTAATTTGTTGTTTTTCAGAATTGCATTAACTAGGCTGATATGCAACTTGTGACTTTGAACAACTAATTGAAAGGCCAAAACCTTACTAATGTTTACGTTTATACCGGTGAACAACTTAACGAATTTCTGGACATGGAAACTTATGTAAAGGAACAATTTACAAGCTGATAATATCTGTGTTTAATATTGACCACTTCCATATTGATTCACTTATTGAATTATTAAAATTTATATAAAAACTATACTCATTTTATTTTTTTCGAAAATCTTACTACAAGTGAAGAAGTCGTAGTGTCTAAGATCCTGTGAAAACGTGGTGAAAGTTAGTAGTTTTTCGCATCATGAATCGTGCTAATATTCATCCGAATACACTGTAATAGGAAAGAAACATATATATATATGACTCAATGTTCTAGCAAAGCTTCTAAACTAGTGCAGTACTTAGAAGTTCTCATAACAAAATAGGTACTCATAAAGCAAACACTTAGTTATTTCTAATTTCCACAAACAGTTACCCTTCAAGATTGTCAGTATACCTCCACATGAAACAACACTTAAGGCTAAACTAAAAATTGGGCAAAAGTCTACTATTACATCATTACTACTGGTAAACAAAGGACAGCACTTGATGCAGAAAAATCAGTTTACAAGTTATAAATATGGGTAAGTTTGAATCACAACCACGAAAAATTATGATAAACAGTTCCTGTCACGTCTCCACAATTTCTAATATTCCGGATCATATTTCTATCGCAAACAAGACTACACAAAAATAGTCGTTAGAGAATCTAGAGTATTACCTAGTTACTGGTAATTCTCAGATAATGATTGTCACCTTCCTTCTCCACTATCACCGCGAACCGCTAACCATATTTATCCAATCTGTTTTTTGTTCATTTTCTGGATTCGCCAAGTCTATAAATATAGTTTGCTTCATCTGAGGAAATAAACTTGTGCATTATGATAGAAGGCATTTGTGTTGCATACCTTCTATCAGATGGAGTGCCTAAGAATATGATCAATTATGCACTTTATGCTTTGCAAGTGGTTGGCCTTTGCTTCAAGAGTTCATCTCCTCATGTATGCCAGTGGCATATGGCGGCAAGAATATCGGGATGTCACAAACGTTCAACAGTCGCACTCACGAATGTTTTGTAGGGCCAGTGAAATGTCATTGAGCTCTAGCCAAATAATCCGGCATTTCGATCACTGAATGTAGAACAGATCATCGCTCCCTGTCAAGGTCAAGGACAGCCAACTCGCATCGGTCAATCGTATACCATGGACTGGCCCATGCGTCAGTGGTCTTACTTTCGATTGTATCTACTTTAACTAATATATTTCCGTAATATCGCCATGGTGCATCTTACGTTTAGCACCTACAAGCTATTGTCATATCTTCAGTGCTTATATACGCTTACCTGTAGAGAGATGAGCTTTCTTACTCTTTATATCTTCATCATTGATCTGCCCGAATAGTTCGTTCCTTAATACTTTCAACTGTTTCATCTATTGGAGGTGTTCGCAATATCACAAGCTTCTAACTTTCTTTATCTTTTGAGGACAATCTTCTGATCCATTAATCACAAACCATCCATGAGGTGCCACAAGGATGTTTGTGAAGCACCGTGAATAATTTTAGGACATATTCTCCCCCCTTAAAAGTCATGCAGAACACTGTAAGTTTGAAAACGTGGGCCGTAAACTTCACATATTACTCAAAATTGGATTTTGATTTTGTTATTTATTCTCTGAAGAAATGGCTTACACTAAGTCACGAGATGTCAGAAAATCTCATTTCTCTAGTCATCGGGATATTACAAACATGTTATGATTTATAACAATCTACTACCCAATGCTCAATTTATTCGAAATTATCGAGTCAAACCATGATAATGATACCTACCATATTACTTAAATTTCTCTCGGTATTAGGCCTTAGGGTTTAGGATTACGAAGTTTAACGAGTCGGTCCCGATTTGGCATTTCTGAACGTTTACAGTAATGCCATGTTTTTGTGATCGTTCGAAAACAAGATCCAGGTGCTTGAGATGTGATTCTCTGTCCGGACTTGCGATTAGGCAGTCATCAACATACGCATGTACGAAGTTGAGACCTCGAAAGACATCGTCTATGAACCATTGGAATGTTTGAGCAGCGTTTCTTAGACCGTAAGGCATTCGCAAAAATTCATAGAGCCCGAAGGGAGTGATGATAGCTGTTTTCGGTATGTCGTAAGTAGCCATAGGGATTTGGTTATACGCTTTAACCAAGTCGATTTTCGAAAAGACAGTTGTACTTTTCAAGGTAGCTGTCAAATCGTGAATGTGAGGCAACGGGTAACGATCGGGAATGGTTTTTGCATTCAATCGCCGATAGTCACCAGTTGGACGCCAATCGTTGCTGTCCTTTTTAGGGACCATGTGCAACGGAGATGCATAAGGGCTGTTTGACGGCCGTATGATTCCTAAGTCTATCATGTGATCGAACTCCTTTTTCGCCAACCTTAGCTTTTCAGGGGCTAGTCGTCGTGCTTTAGAGAATACAGGTGGTCCTGTAGTCGTGATGTGATGTGTAACGTTGCTGGTTACACACGGTAAGTTCGGTTGCGCTTGATGAATCCCAGGATACTTATCGAGTAGTGGTTGATAGAGTGGGTCTATCATATGTTTAAGTGTGATTGGGGATAATCTGCAACCAGTAAAAGAAGTTACGCAAAGGGATAAATTAGTGTTTCCGTCTACTAGCCTCCGTTTGCGCGTATCGATGATTATATTATGGTGTTGTAGAAGATCCATACCAATGATTGGCATAGAAACATATGCAACAACGAAAATCCAGTGAATGGGTTTGCGTAAACCCACGTTAAGGTAAACGTACTTTTTGCCATACGTAGCGATCGGTTTTCCGTTTGCCGCCTGTAAGTTTAGAGCCGATTCGTGAAGCCGGTCGTTAGGATTTGCTGGGAGAACGCTAACTTCTGAGCCAGTGTCGACGAGGTAGCGAACTCTCGTTGTCACATCTGTGATGTACAACAGACGGCTATGTTCGCCGGCTACGGTTACCGTTAACGCGTGCCGGCTTGGAAGTTTCCCGAGTTGTTTTTCGAGTCAGTCGGTTTCGTGTTGGGAAAATTGCAGAGTTTTCTTCAATTTCTGGAAGATTTTCCACACTAGTTATGATACCAGCACCAGTCGGGGTTATCCGTCTCTCGTAGTCTAGAGACAGATCGTTTACGTGAAATGCTTCTACGTGGGCTGTGTGAACGATTACGGTCGTTACGAAAATTAGGATAACGCGTGAGTGTATGACATAACTCGGTTATATCATTCTGAGTCGTTTGAGGCTTTTCTTTGACTGAAAATACCTCTGTAGTAGAAGATTTCGTAATTTCTACGATACGATCGGCAGATGCAATCAGCTCGTCTAAGGCGTTGTTCTGAAACGAGACCAGAATCGCTTGCACCTGTTGAGGAAGTTTAGACAAGAAAAGGTATTTGAATAGGCCTTCGTCGAAAGTTCTTGGGCCTATCACTTATCTCATTCTTTGCAACATGTCCGTCGCAGAACCATGATGCAGGTCTATGTTATTAAAGAGTTGATCAAACCTTTGTCGATCGGTTAGGTCTCCTAGTTTAAGAATCGAACGCTTTAGGATTTCGTAAGGATCGGAAACATCACTAGTAAACATACTAGGTGTTACGTACCTGTTGAATTCGCGCGGTAGTGCCTTGACTACTGCGAGAAATTGTGCACGTGTGTCGATCACACCGTGCTCGTGGAAGTCGG